CCCTACTAAGTCCAGGTTTCCAGTGGTCTTTGGCTCACTTGAATAACTCTGTCCCTTTTGCTGCCCATCCTTCCTCCTTTATGCTAAAATACAGTACAAGCCTCATGCCACACCTTTTTCTTTCTTTCTGGTGGCAGTGATGGGGCTGGATGAAACATCTGGCCATTTAGAGGTAGGGGTTTCAGGGACCTCCAGAGATTGCTGCTGTGAGTTCAGCAAAATGAAGAGGCACACGCCAAGCTGCTGGAGCCAACATTTTATAATAAAGGATTACCTCTGCAGCCTCATGGCACAGTGGTTAAACTGCAGTACTGCAATGAAGATTCTGCTCACAACCTGGGTTCAGTCCCAGAGGTAGCCATCTGGAGGTTCACTTAGCCTTCCAGCCTTCCAAGGTCAGTAAATTGAGTGCCCAGCTTGCTGCTGGGACAAGGGGTGACTGTAACCTGCATAATTAAATTGTAAACCATCCACAGACCACTATAAGCACTGTGAGGACAGTATATTTGCATAATTCAATTGTAAACCACCCACAGACCACTATAAGCACTGCGAGGACAGTATATAAACAGCATCCTTTCTTTCTTTCTTTCTTCCTTTCTTCCTTCCTTCCTTCCTTCCTTCCTTCCTTCCTTCCTTCTTTTTGGTACAGACATTGGGTTTCAAATAATCAATGCATGTGCATGGAGATGCTGTTGTAAGGAAAGGAAGAGAGGAAGGATACAAGCACCATCGAGCCACCTTTGCCTAATTCATGTGGATTTTTCCGAGCAGTTTCTCTTTGCCACAGACGTACTTTCCCACCCACCCCCTTTCTCCCCCTCCCTTGTCTCTCTTGAGGAGGCTACATCTTCTTGGCAGGAGGGAGCTCACGTAATAGCTCATTTTTGTTAATGCAGGAGTCCAGTTAATTGAAGGTTTAAAAGCTTTACTTTTCTTGCTGTTGAAGGAGTGAGAGAAAGAGAGAGAGAGAGAGAATCAGACTTACAATAGCTAGTGGCAGTCTTCCAAAGTGTGATAACTCACAAAGGTGGGTTGAAAGTTGGACTTAATGTAAGTGAGAGCAGAGATTTGGGGGGGGGATATCTTAAGGAATGGCCCTCCCCATCTGAGTGAGTGATTGCTGGCATTCTAAGTTATTATCTCAGTAATATATAATTTACTGGGGGGGAGCTGATTATTTCTAATTAAGCTTGCTATCACCCCCCCACACACACACACACTCCTATTGTGGGGTTCCACTGCTTTTCAGTGGCAGCTAGCACCCACCCTATACCAGCTGTACATTCAGTTGGAAAGCAACTTGCACCTATTCAAGCTCTGATAGATTTTTGACAGCTGCAAAGGGAGGAATCATGCTGGTTCCTCCTTTTCTTATCCATTGTACTCCTCGGATGGGTTGGGCGGAAGGGGATCAAAGCAGATGAAAAAGATGCACCTATTCGTATGATGTATGCAGATGACAAGTGAGCTTCAACGGATGCATAAGCCGGGACATGATTGTCGTGTGAGCTGCATTTCTCCTGGATCGACACCCTCTTGGTGAAGATGCAGTAGATGTGTAAACTGGAACTGAAAACTGGCACACATACGCTGGCCGTCGGATAAGGTGTCACGGAAGCAGCAGGCTAACTGCAGTTGACATGTGTTTGTCACCTCTTAGTAAGTGATAGACAACTGATATGAAAGCTGAAGGGCAGAGAGTCAAGAAGCGGGGCCACGAAGTCATATTCACCCCCCTCCCCCATTTAATTTGTATTTCAGCAAAGAGGAAGTGGACATTAATGTCAGAATGTGGCAGCAGCAACAACAATTATCATGCAGATTCTATTATACCATAACATTCCTTAATTGGAAAATATCGAAGTTGTTCTTTATTAGATTGTGTGAGGCTGCTTTAGTGGCGCTGGCCAGATTTAGGATATTTACAGATTGGTACACGGAGCTTTAATGGAACGACAAACTTGCTGATTCCACAGATTGGTTATATATGCAGTTCTCCTGCTTTTCTCTCCTCGTCTACGAATTAGTGGACTCTCTTTCTGCATGTGTTCCTCACTGTCCGCATCCTTTGTTTCCTTGTGCTTTTTTTTTAGACTCAGGAAACAGCTGATCTACTTTTATTGACTTGAGTTGCCTGCTTGCGTTTTTCTTTTCATCTCGAATTTTGTAGACAACGTTGGGGATTGTTTTATAGCAGACTCTTTTAAATAAACACCACAGGCTTCTCACTGTATCCTCCTTTTGAACTTTTCCTTTATTTTACTAGCTTGCTCTTGGGATCACCAGTTTGTTTTTGCTACTCATAAGTAGTTCCCATGAGCCCTAACCAGCATAGGCAAGGATAAGGCATGCTGGGAAATTCAGCCCAACAACATCTGGCCGGTCGCTCTTCTTCACCCCCAGCTTTGGCTCTCTCTCAGGATTCAGACAAAATGCTTTCTCGGTCCTTCCTGGAGATGTTACACATTTAACCTTGGACCTTTCATAGAAACAGCACTATCCTCTTGCTAACACTGAGCTTATCGCTTTAAAAAAAAGATGCTGTGCCACATTAAAACAATGCATATCTTAAAGCAATAATGATTATGGAATTCATTTTCTAAATGGCTGGAGGCCTGCAGGCTTCCAAGGGTGGAGGGAGAAGGCGGCAGAGAAGAACTTGGTGAGTTACCATCTTTAAGCTGTTATGGTGCCACAGGATCCTGGCAGACAGATAGGTTGTGGATGATGCTCCTAGGCTACTACGTAGCACCCTTTCTGCAGGAGCTGGCCAAACTGAGGGCTTGTAGGCCATCTTCAATTGTTAAAAAAAAGTTCATCCGCTCCCAGATTTGGAACAGGGAATAAGGTCCCTGCTTGCTTTGCCCTAATTCGGCCGAGAAAGGGATTTGGGATGTGTTTTTAGGACCCCAAAGAAGGGCCTCTTATGATTTTGAATACCTTCTCATTTACCATAAACCAGCATTTCGCCCTCTGCAGCCCCCCCCCCACCGCCCAGACAACCCAGCACCCTCTGCCATGGGCAGGACTGCAAC